ATGGCTGGTGGTACAGATTCTTGTCAAGGTGATTCGGGCGGACCATTGGTTTACAAAAATACTTTGATAGGTGTGGTCTCATGGGGAAATGGTTGTGCGTTAAGAAACTTTCCTGGTGTTTATGCAGATGTCAATTACTACAGAAAATGGATAAACGAAAGAAATTCTAGTGCTGCGATACGAAGTAGCTTACTCCTTCTCCTTTTATCTTTAGTAGCGAATCTAAAATACTTTAGATTTATTTAGTCAATTTAAAACTTTAATTAAATTTTTATTAATTTTTAAAAACAATTTCTTTAGTTTAACACAATTTTTTTTACACCTAACAACATTAAAAAACAACAATATTAGCTAATTTACATAAATACTTTAAAATTATTGTACCAAACAGCAACTGTAGAGTAGTTCCTATAGTGAGCAGTTTCAGTTTCAAAATCCTTAACATCATGTCCTTCAGCAGTTGCAGTTTTTTCTACATTGCTCTTCACTCTGTTCCATATTTCCATTGTGATAGCCTAACTTAAGTGTGTCATTGTGAAACCCAAAACTGGGCAAACAGCGAGAGTGTGTCATCAGACGTGAAAGTTCTGCATTCAATGTTGAATTCTCCATGCGTTCCATTACCCGACCCACCAGCAATTCTATTGCTTGACGAATATTCAAGCCGGTGCAAGCGCTCGTCTCAATATAGGGTAGATTATATCTGTCAGCCAAAGCGCAGACTTGCTGATGGCTGACAACTCGCGCTGATTCCAGATCGCATTTATTGCCACAAAGCACTACATCAGGATCTTCGGAGTAAGCATGCATACGCAATTGCTCAAGCCAATTTGCTATTTCCAGAAATGATTTTTCATTTGTCACATCGAAAATTAATAGAAATCCCATGGCATCACGATAAAAGGCTGTTGTTAAGGAACGAAAACGTTCCTGACCTGCAGTGTCCCAGAGCTGTAGATGAATACGGTGATTACGACCACGTGATGTATAAATCTTTAAAGGTAAAGAGTTTACATTATAATAAACCTTTAGAGGAACATTTTAAAAAGAAACTTTAACTGATTATATTGACACGAATTAGATTATATGCTTAAGTATTTCTTAGTAGGGACACTACCAACGTTAGTCATAGTATAAAATTGCTTTACTAAATAAAATAAACTCAAAAATTATAAGTTCCCCTTTGATATCCGTTACAAATAACCCAAAATGTAAAAATGATTACTCTATGATTCTAGTGTAGTGAAGTAGACCATACTAATATTGATATATTTTCTTCATAAATTTGATAAGATGAATCGATTTAGCCAAATTAATGTCTCTAACTCGTTACTTGATTTATCGAAGATCAGATCACTAAGGCCTTAAGTGATGACACGAAAGGTTTTAAGGTGGATATGCATGTTTTTGAAGCAGATATATCAAATGCGGATATGAATTTATCGGCAATAGATCTTGAATATTTATTGTACTAACAAAATTCGAATGAGACGAATGAATAAAACAAAGATAGATATAAGATTACCGTGTTGTTATTAATTCCAATAGAACCTATACTCGATCAACTTTACCAAGTTGTTAAATCACTTGGAACATATACTAAATATTAAAAATGCTGGCTTTCCTTAATTTGTTTTTAATTGGGTCTACATCATATGCAATAACAAAATGCAATCGGCAGCATTTGGTTTCTGATCTCTTCACGACAGCACCTGTCCTGGTATCCTCAACAGATTATCATATAACATCTCGGCAAGACTAGCATCGATATTAGTCTTTAGCGAAGTCCTTAATCCCAACAATAATATTCTATGTTAGTGCGACAACTATAGTAAATTTCAACATGGATTGAAAAGTTTTATAATTGTTCGCAGCGGAATGTAGCCTTGCGATCAAGGTTGGTTTTCTGTTCGAATGAAGGCCAGAAATGTCAGCTGATAAGTATAGCTTAACAAAAGAAGAAGATCAATCTTTTCCTAGTCCATATAAAAGCCACGAACAGCCACTAAAATTGTAAAGAGAGGTGTCATCCGCCTGCAGGCACAGTCGATATTCTGTTTCGTCATACAAAAACATCTGTTAAGAGTAGTTTTATATGGTAAACTCATTTGACTGATGGTTACGTGAGCGTTGCGCCAATAGCGATTTCTTTCGGTTACAACCACTTGTATATCAGAGATTTTATTGTAGACTAACTTATTCTACAGTAAGGTATTAGTCCATAGAAATGTATGGCTACTAATTAATGATTTAATGGTTAATGTTTTTAATGCAGACTTTAGGGATTTCGGATAGATATTTAAGGAAGTTCAAACCTATAAATGATCAGAGTAGATGAGCAACATTTAATTCTTTCTTTCTTTTTAGTTCACAATTTTTACAGTTGTTGTTGAAAGGAATTTCTATGTGGTCGATATACCCAACTATTAGAGAATATACTATTTTCTAATAAAGTAACTTTTTGGGGGCATTGAGAAGCTATTAAAACAAATGAGTTACTTAGCAGTTATGTATACAATATCTTATGTGTGATTTAGCATATCCGCTCTTTGTGCCACTACTAACTGTTATAAAATAGATGATAATGAGTATAGAAATCTTAAAGTCTGATCATAAAACAGCTCATCTATTTATAGATTACTTGCCATATATGTACATTTCATTTGTTAAAAACCCATTATAAGAAGAAATCTTTAAACTCTAAATTTTGCGGAAATATATAGTTTTTAAATGATTTTCTTAAGATCTTTGCGATATATACGTTGATGAATATGACGTATATATGAAATATATTTGTAAAATAACTATAAATATTAATTTAAAGGAACTGTGTCACCAAATAGGTATTCCCATATAAATAGATATAGTATTGCTTACTTCCAGATTATTTTAATTCAATCTCACTTATTAAGACAGCCAAATATTGAACACTTTTCCTTAATTATATACCAATTTATCTTACACATATCAATTTGTTAATTTTTTGTTTTATAGAAGCTTACGTAAAATTAGGAAATTCCATGATATGTCATGTCATATCGTTGTCAAATTGAGTTCAATAAATTAAATTAAAATCCATTCTTGATTGATAGAACCAATAAATACTTTAAAATTGTAAGTATTCTTTTAAAAAGAGATAAAGGAATTAAAAATTTATCTATTTCATTATCTCAATGATTTTATTTATATATTATATTATTATAAAACAAAGACTACTGCAGTCCAACAAGGGTAAATAAATTCAGTAACGATATTATAACTTTGTAAAAGACTATGGTTACTAATTCTCGAGGGTAAGAAGTGGTTACTGAAATAGTTAATAAATTTGCTGCCAAAGATGTGGATAGACAGTAAAAATGACACTAATTATACAGATAATTATTTGTCTTATATATAAGAATAAACGATTTTGGAGATATAGTAACAAATATTAAGTTCAATCGATTGAACTGTGCGGGCACATTGTATTGTAGAGCATAGGTAGGTAGATCTAGCCCGTAGTAAATGATGGTATAAGTTGAGACCTTCAACGTGTAGCAATGTCTAATTATTTAGATTGAAGCTTAGTATCTTAAAAAAATATTGTAAAAACATTTCAGTTGAATTTTTGTTTCACATACAGTTTTTAATTTATAAATTATTAAAATAGATTAATAATTTCATTAAAATTATAATTATGACTCAATATTCGTATCAGTTATAATCGATCTTGATAAGACAAGAGAGGCTGATTGTACATAAAATTCCTAAAAAGCATTTATGATATGCTTGAGTCATCTTTTAATAGTTGATCAATATAAAATTTTATTCTTTTAATTATTATTTAGAAAAAGTCAGGTTGTAGATAAGTTTGGCTGCCGACATGTAAGTAGATGGTCGCACTATTATTACAAGAGTAGTATACAGGTGCCTCTACTGCTTCAATATTAATAAATATTGCTCTCAATATATTATTAAATATTGACAACATTGAAATTTTTCATATCGGAATGAAAAATTTCCAATTTCTTCATATACATATTATTTATTGTATATAGTTGTGTTGTTGTTATTGTTGTTGTTGTATTAAAATTATCAGCTTTTTGTTTTGCTTCCAAATATTATCTGAGCTAATATCTACAAAGGTAAAAAAATTGAAATATTTTCAATCATTTTATAAATATCTTTGTTATGGAAGTGAGTCAGATATTTATTCCGCACCCGTACGTGTTTCTGATGTTAAATAGCAAATCAGTATTGATGAGTTCTTGAGATACTACGATGGTAGTACAAACAATTTTGCAATTCAGAAATAATAGATAGATTAGGAAAGTCATTAATATATATTCGGAGTTCATAAAAGTAACTTCGCAACGATATTACTTTATAGTTTAATTTTATACTGAATTATAAATAATCTTAATCAATCTTTCCAGGTCTCGCCGATGAAGAGAATGTCAGTCTAACTCCTCGTATTATAAATGGGAAACCTGCCACATATGCCGAAACTAAATTTCAAGTTTCGATTAGATTAAAAAGTTATGACTATCCATTTGGTAGTGGACACATATGTGGAGGATCGCTTATAGGACCAAATAAAGTACTGACTGCGGCGCACTGTCTCTATAAGTAAGTACTGCGCTCATACAACAAATGATCAAAATTTTTCAATTAACAAATTCTATATTCATATTAAGTTCCGAGAAAAAGAAATACCGCAAGGCTAATGAATTTGTAGTGGTCATGGGCACACTAAACCGTTTTCAAAAAGTGAATGGTACCATTGTCTCGGCTGTGAGTTCGATCTCATATATGAATACATTTAACATAGATACAATGCGAGATGATATCGGTGTTATGTTTCTAGTCACTGGTTTACCTGCAAATAAAACTCACCTGACAGTTGAACCAATTGCATTGAGCAACATAAGTGTAGCAGCAAACTGGAACTGTCAAGTTTCTGGATGGGGTAAAACTGAAAATGTGGGTATAAAAGGTTTTTATTAATGACAATACGTTATTATATTATATTGTTTATATTTTATTTTAGGATGTGCTACCCAGATCTCTACTCTTGACCAATGTCAGCACTTTTAGTAGAGAAACTTGTGTGTCAAGTTACGGTAACAACATAATCTCTGGTATGTTCTGTGCTGGTATAATGGCTGGTGGTACAGATTCTTGTCAAGGTGATTCGGGCGGACCATTGGTTTACAAAAATACTTTGATAGGTGTGGTCTCATGGGGAAATGGTTGTGCGTTAAGAAACTTTCCTGGTGTTTATGCAGATGTCAATTACTACAGAAAATGGATAAACGAAAGAAATTCTAGTGCTGCGATACGAAGTAGCTTACTCCTTCTCCTTTTATCTTTAGTAGCGAATCTAAAATACTTTAGATTTATTTAGTCAATTTAAAACTTTAATTAAATTTTTATTAATTTTTAAAAACAATTTCTTTAGTTTAACACAATTTTTTTTACACCTAACAACATTAAAAAACAACAATATTAGCTAATTTACATAAATACTTTAAAATTATTGTACCAAACAGCAACTGTAGAGTAGTTCCTATAGTGAGCAGTTTCAGTTTCAAAATCCTTAACATCATGTCCTTCAGCAGTTGCAGTTTTTTCTACATTGCTCTTCACTCTGTTCCATATTTCCATTGTGATAGCCTAACTTAAGTGTGTCATTGTGAAACCCAAAACTGGGCAAACAGCGAGAGTGTGTCATCAGACGTGAAAGTTCTGCATTCAATGTTGAATTCTCCATGCGTTCCATTACCCGACCCACCAGCAATTCTATTGCTTGACGAATATTCAAGCCGGTGCAAGCGCTCGTCTCAATATAGGGTAGGTTATATCTGTCAGCCAAAGCGCAGACTTGCTGATGGCTGACAACTCGCGCTGATTCCAGATCGCATTTATTGCCACAAAGCACTACATCAGGATCTTCGGAGTAAGCATGCATACGCAATTGCTCAAGCCAATTTGCTATTTCCAGAAATGATTTTTCATTTGTCACATCGAAAATTAACAGGAATCCCATGGCATCACGATAAAAGGCTGTTGTTAAGGAACGAAAACGTTCCTGACCTGCAGTGTCCCAGAGCTGTAGATGAATACGGTGATTACGACCACGTGATGTATAAATCTTTAAAGGTAAAGAGTTTACATTATAATAAACCTTTAGAGGAACATTTTAAAAAGAAACTTTAACTGATTATATTGACACGAATTAGATTATATGCTTAAGTATTTCTTAGTAGGGACACTACCAACGTTAGTCATAGTATAAAATTGCTTTACTAAATAAAATAAACTCAAAAATTATAAGTTCCCCTTTGATATCCGTTACAAATAACCCAAAATGTAAAAATGATTACTCTATGATTCTAGTGTAGTGAAGTAGACCATACTAATATTGATATATTTTCTTCATAAATTTGATAAGATGAATCGATTTAGCCAAATTAATGTCTCTAACTCGTTACTTGATTTATCGAAGATCAGATCACTAAGGCCTTAAGTGATGACACGAAAGGTTTTAAGGTGGATATGCATGTTTTTGAAGCAGATATATCAAATGCGGATATGAATTTATCGGCAATAGATCTTGAATATTTATTGTACTAACAAAATTCGAATGAGACGAATGAATAAAACAAAGATAGATATAAGATTACCGTGTTTATTGACAAACAAACGGCAATAATAAGTAATCTAGTAAGAGAATATAAAGGAGAAATTGATTATCAAGCGGACATTACTCTTATATGGGGTTCCTGGTCACAGAAACATTGAAGCAAATGATAACACAAACAGTTACGTAGCTTTGACATTTCTGCAGATGTATCCCTGGAGGTACCGGTATAAGTTTCTTTAGAAAGAGTTAAAAGTGACACATTTATCTGGTTTTGACAGTTAGCTAATAATATATGGAAGTTAGGACCCGGTCAAGGGAACCTATTAATAGGAACTGTAGTCATATTGCCAGATATAGGTTCATAAGAAGAGAAACTGGTGCTTGCGTAAAACACTTTTTGTAGTAGATGAGGAACGAAGAGCAGACGAAGACGAAGAGTAATAATTAAATATTTTCTCTGTGACTTTTCAGCTTTGGTTAAAATATCGAACAGCTTTGTATGAAAATTTTCTTCTTGACAGTCTGTCAGACTGCTCATCAATAAGAACAAGAGATTTGTTAAACTACATAAATGCAATTGAATGGAACTAGTTTATATGCAGAGCTTTCTTGAGAGAAATGTGGTACTAAAACGGTAAACAATTGTTAATTATGTGAGCCTTAAGGGTATCTGCTGATCAGTCACTGCAATTGATAAACTAAATTCTGTAAATGTCATCAAATTATAGTCAATTCTCTGCTGGGATTTTAGCAATAAATTAAACTATTTATCAAAATATTTCTTTAAACTGAATATAAAAGAAATCACTCTTTTCAACCATTCTTAACTAAATCTGTACATAATCTGTTTAAGTATTTTATTATTAAATGCTTTAAGTAATGAAATGTCTTTATTGGTGTGATATAATTATGCTTACCAAACGCTTTTCTCGGAAATCGATACCCACTGTTGAGATAAATTGTGAATGAAATTGCCCATCTGTGTATTGATATAAGAAGCTTGTCTTTCCCACTCCAGAATCTCCGAGTGCCAGGAATTTCAATAAAAAGTCATAATCGATATTAGCTCCCATCGCCATGTTAACATTCAGCACGAATTTACAAAACAAAATTAAAAATAAAAAATACTAAAAAAAATGTTTAAATAAGAAATAAATTTATTTATATTTTGCTGCGGATTTGCGGCTGTAAAAGGACGTTGACACAGGCACAGGCTCGGGCTCAGGCACAGATACAGGATAAAATGTATTGAGTCGACCGAAGTCAGCCAACGTATGCTGTGTAAAATAATAAAAAAGAAGTTTTTTTTTGTTTAAAAAGGGTCAGTAAAGATATTGTTTATACTAAATATATGCATTTACTATTTACTATTTACTGATACGCAAACATAAATGCTCATAAAATAAAATCTATGAATATTTACGTCGGGTACGTAGATATGATATGTATAAGAATCGATAAATAAAAGCCTATGAATATATATAACAGATATATATATATTTGTAAAGAATCGCTATTTGAATAGCAATACATATATAATGAGAATATGGTATGTCAGAGTATAAAAATTTGCATATCCTTTTCATTATTAATTAATAAGTGATTATTACTTATTTGGAATTAATCGAACCATCCCAATCGAGCCAACTGGAACAAAGTCAACTGCACAAAAGCTAAAACAAATTTAATTTTACTGATTTCTAAGCTAGAATTTATTATCATCTTTTGCCTTTCCTTAGGCGTACCCCTACAGACTTATATATACTCCTACTTCTTCCTTTTGCAATTTTGCCAAAACAATAAACACCAACGCAGCTGAATCCTCATTATAGAGCATTCCTTTAGCGCTCCGGCGTTTATTTGCCTTTCTAATTAAAATCATAGAAATGCTTGAAATGATGAATATTAAAATTTCCCAATGCGGCTGCCGCTGCCGCTGCCACAGAGTTTTTGTGAAAACCCAAAATATTTGGTGAAGTACACGTGCTGCTACTTGAATGTGCCTACTTCGTACTTGGGATGCCGGAAATACTCGTATATTAATGTCAACGCTTCCGTTTCAATTTCCTAATATTGACTTCTGTCAACATTAACGCTTCTCCAAAGCAGCTAAGTCGGTTATTTTTATCAAAATTTTGTTAGAACTAAAGTTCTAAGATTTTTTTATCTTTCGATTTTTATTTTTCGATAGCAACGCCCTGTTCTGACAGTTGATTTCCATTAAAGCCATTTTATGTCTAGCAAACAAATGATAAGGCAGCATGTGGCACAGCAGGACTCGTCCTTTATTGTGCCATATTAGGTTGGTCCTGAGTGTCGAATGGCAACATGACAGCACGTCTGTCAGCAATTTTATTTATTTCTTTTCAATTTCGCAAAGAAGTTACTGACTTTTTCATGAGTAAAACCACAACTGTGCGCTTGAAAGTTGTGAAATTAGTCGAGCAGAATGATTTAATTAACAGCATAAGTTTGAAATTAAAAAAAAATCCAATAACATGTATTTAGACTTAATATATAGTACAAAAAACATTACTTAACTGTGTAAGAACGCTTGATATATGGCTGTATATGTAGCGCATATCCTGCCGTTTAGCTCACATACAATGTTATCTTTTGTCAAATTTAAATTGCCCTAAGAGGTATCTATTCTCTGATATAGTTATCGCTTAAAGGCTTCTCATTCCTTAATGTGAAATATACAACCTGTCACAACATTAATTGTTTAAAAAATATGTAGAGCTGTCTATCCTGTGTAGGTTGAAGCCTATCTCTGATATAGTTATCGCTTATAAGCATTAAAATCCTTAATGTGAAATATGTGAGCTGTAAATTGTAAATTATGTAAATTGTTTAAAAAATATGAATTAATTGTTGAAAAAAATATTTTTGAGATTTTCGCACTCAATATTTTGTCAGCGGTGAACGCAAAGTGTACCTATGCAAAATTACTACTGCGTAGTCTATTAGGGGTTTCCACGGTAGAAATTAAACAGTAGTAGATATTTTATTAATTAATAAATATTGTATATTATTTTATAATATACAATTAATAAATTAATTGTATATTATAAAATGTACAACTAGGTCTTTGATTGAAAAATGGTTTTCAGCCGAGAGAAGTCGCTACTGGCGCGACAGTCGAGGTAACCGTCAGGTCAAAGAGCTGGTTCACCCCTACAGTTATGGTAAGATATCCTTCTACAGCAAAACAGAGTTGCGGTTACTGGTGGAATATTTAACGGGTCACCATGGACTGCATTAACAAAATATAATAGATTGACAAGACTTCAAGTCACATTTTTTGTGACTGCCCAGCCTTGAACTGGGCCAGGATGAGGTCACTGGGACAAGAACTACTCTCTTTTTTTGACATTCGGAAGACGGAATGTCTTCTGTTCGGTTGCAGCATAAATGATGAATCATGGTCGCAGTGCTCCGTTTCGTTGGGAACTAGTACCCCTTTTATTCCTATGCCAAATATACAAATATTAACATAACATATTAAACATTTGTGTTACTTAATTTATTAATGTTTATTTTACATAATTTATTAATGTTAAACACAAATGGTAAAGACAAATCTTAAACCTAAACGTCAAATATTATTAAAACATTATTATTATTATTACAGAAAAATCTAAGAAACATCTATTTTTCAAGTCCAAAAATGCACAATTTTCGGAAAAATATACAAGTATGTTAAAATAGAAATATTTTTAGAAGTAGCAAAATGAATTTTTCTCAAAATTAAATCGGAATAAAATGCTAACAGCGTTGCAAATGACAAAATGTGTGCTTTAAAAGATATTTTTTGAGTCTCGAATACGTGAAAGTTATGACATCGAAATCCTTTCACTTGAAACTACACGAAACTTCAATGCAAATACTTTGTAGTTAAGTTGGAAATTCTTCAAATTTAATTCACATTCCAAAAGATTTGCATGGAAAACTCTACTCGTATGTAGCAGACATACAAGTAGGAGTTTAAAGGCACATAAAAGGATTGTCATGTTTCGTATGGAATCCTGCTAGCAAAACAGTAAATCACACAAATCCAAATACAGCCAATACAGGAAGTGCAGGAAGTACAGGAAATACACATTGTGAACGCAGTAGCGCACGGCATAAGCATAAGAGGATTATGGGCTTAGCAGTGACATGACAACGTTCCGAAAACTTTTATTAGCTGCTCTCAATTTTCTGTATATTTTCAGTCCTTATTTTGTTGTTGTTGTTGCTGTTGTAGTGATTTTCTATTAGCAACCACAATGTCGTCAATAATTCTTAGGAAATATTGTGGTATCTGTTGCGGTAAGCATGGAATAGCATTAGCCAATTTACAGTGTTTTTATGGTAACGAAGGTGGTAAGTAAAATGAACGCAAAATGCATGACTTGATACCCGATGGAGTTAGAGTGATTAATCAGTGAATTTTTTATTGAAAAAATGAAAACATATCCTTTCTAGGTCAGCAGGTGCGTAAAAGGTAGCTTTGTCAAAAAGATAGTCTTAGCAAAATTTTTGCAAAGGTACCAAAGACTAAGTAGCTTATTTTTTTGATACAAAAAAAGATTATAAGTATATTTTTTAAATCACATAAAATATAGTATGTTTAAGAGTTATTAAGGACGTTATTGAAGTGATCAATTGGGCAGTTTCTGTAAAGACTATGTATTTTAATATATATAGATTTGCATGCTAAAATCACTTTTCCAAGTTTAAGCTTCTAAAATAAGAAATCTTTTAGAGCAGTCCTTTCGAGGTCCTCTCCTTAGATTCCATAGAAGTTATTTCAAATTCGAGTCAATTAGATAGTATACCATGTGCTATAAATAATATAAATGATACATACTTTACTAATAACAAAAAACGTTCATTCACTAATAATAAATGGTGGCAGAAATTTGCTAGCTTGATCTTCTCTCTACTATCCACTATTACGAGGTTTTGTGGATTCAATACTGCTTTTTTAGCTAATTGAGGAGGGAGGACTCGTTTCTTCCTCCACCACAACTAACTACTAACTAACTCAAGAATTATTAGATCCATTATACAATCTGAAACGTAATGAAAAATAAACAATTTGAATGTACACATTACATCTTAACACATTCTCTACAAGAGTGCCTCACGGGTACTAAATTGTACCAGCTTTTCTATATTAAATATGCTCTTTACGAATCACTCATACGCTACGTTGAACCACTGAGCCAACGAGCCAACGAGCAAAGGCAAAATCACAATTCGCTTTAAGCATACATATTCCATACTCTCCAAACCTGTACTTTGCACAATTTATTTATGTTTTTATTAAATCTTTAATATTAAATTAAAACAGAAAATATTATATTAGAGTGGGAGCCACACAACCACAACAATAAAAAGGCAATTATTTCGCACGCGCTGTCAGCAACACAAACACAATGGGATGACATAAAATGGTACATTCCTTGGAAACAGATAAAAAAGTAGGTTGGGAGTAAGTTTCACAATAAACAATAAACAATAAGCAAATAATAAATAAACTGTACAAATAAGTCCAAGACGATGCAACAAGTAAATGTTTCCTTAAGTGCTGGCTGCCACTAAAGGTCGAAGAAGTGGCGAAGTGGCAGCAACAAGGATTCTTGAGCTTACGGGCAACTTCGGTTCAAGTTTAAGATTCTGTGTTGATATTAACAGAAAGAATTAAGTGGAAAAGCGTTGTGTGCCTTGAGTTCCAACTGCAGCATGAACATTCTCCAAATGCCTCTACCTGCCGGTATCACAGGCATTTTAAAAATGATGCTTTTGACAGCGACTAATAGGATAGCCGTCCGCCAGAAACAGATAAACAAAGAAATTTACCTTTTTAAATGAAAAAATAGAGAGATAGCATTGTTGATTTAATAAAACAAAAGATTTTTATTTATAAGTATGTACAGTGTCTACTGTTGGTCACTTCAAAGCGCTTTACCATTTCTATGGCGAACCCAGCAAAGGCATGTGGGAGGAATGTGGGATAATTGTGAGCATTTCAGAACTTTTGTCATGCGATTTGTGTTTCATGTTGATTTTATTGTTGTGATAATTTCCGCACAAGGATTGAATGATATGATAAGTTTGATTTGGTTAAGCAAATGAAATTGGTAGAGTTATACGTCATATCATACGAAAATCCTATTTAAAAGGAAAAGGATTTTCTATTCCGATTTATTTTCTTACTCATATTTGTGTTCGTTGATTGCTGCAGGGGATGTACTATATATTGAATGAATTCTTTGAATACAGAAAAAAAAAATCACAAACAAATTAAAGTCCTTGGTAACGGACGAATTTATTAGATTTAATTAAATTTATATCATTTTTCAGCGCCTATTGCAACGCTACCACGTTGAGCTTATCATTTATGAAATTTGATAATTCAAGGAAATTTCTGTGAAATCTTTGCAATTTCACAAATAAGTCATTTTCTCTTAGGACAATATTCAGCTTTCAAAAATTCCAGCAGAAATAAGCCTTGGCTTATAACTTAGCAACTGGAAATCCTACAGGAAATCAAATTACAAACGCAGTCAACAAAATAAAATTTTCAAATAGAGCCAAAGGCAATGTTTGGAACGAATTTAAATTGAGTGTAAAATTTAGTGGCAAAAACACAAAAGTTCTGCCTAAATACATATGTTTAAATAAACTCCGAAACAAAGAAACGAAGATAAAGAAATTAAATACAAAATAATACATTAAAGATAAGCAGACCTCACATAAATTTCAGAGAGACAAAACTTAATTAAGGCTTGCTGGTATCTTTTTGTGCCTCACATTGAGCACTTTTTTGTACTTCCCCATTAATTAAATGCTTAGCGCCTATTGAATTAAGTTGACTCGACTCTATGTGTCGGGTCTTTCGGTTTGTTCCGGTGCCCACATAGCTATACGTACACGTTTGTTTCTAAATTAACAAATTTACATGTAATTTTATATTTACGTAAACGTGCACCGAAGCGTAAATTTGCCCTTAATACTTCTTTCTTCCCTGACCTCAGACGCACTCCAATGGCAACGCATTTTATCTAATATTATTTTTATAAAAATAAACTTGCAATATTGGTTGAAGAAATGTTGACAATTTTCTTTTTTTATATAATATATATCTATATATGTATATATATACGTAACTATGTTATATAAAAGATGAGTAGATTGGTGCTTTGTGAGTTGCAAGCCACTTAAATGGTTACAGAAAGGTAACGAAATGTGTGCATTAAGCACCCAGCAGTGAATAATTTTCTATATATATCTACTATCCATAGAGCGATGCTGTCTTGTGTTAACAGAAAGGAGAGGATTTTATTTTATTACAGTATCCCTCAAAGAGCGTTGTGTCTTCCGCCTTACATTGTGCCCGAAGTAATATTCAATAATGAAAAGAGGTCTTCTGTGGTAAATATGTGGATTTTATTTAATTTTTAAAAATAATATTTATCTTCTGCTCAAAAAGTACTCGGATTTTGTAAATAAAACACACAAATTTAAATTTTATTCCAAATTTATTTTATCTCCTTCAAAATATGCTCCTTCTGAAGCGATATACATATGCCAACGCCCGTAGGCCCATGAAGGTATGGCTTTTAGTTCCTTAAGCGAATTCTCTTTTACCGATTCAATTGACTCAAAATGCTTACCACGAAGGGGCAATTTGAGTTTCAGGAACAGGAAAAAGTTGCAGGAATCCAGATCTGGCGAATATGGTGCCTGAGCGATGACAGTGGTGCCGTGTTTGGTAAAAAAATTGCGTACAAACAAGAATTTTCTATAGTTAAAATCGCTAAATGCACTTGAGGTAGTCTGACATAGCTGCTGTGAACAAACTAATTGACAGATGGCGCTCAAATTTGTACCATATGTCAAGAAAGGGTGTATTAACATAACAAATAAAAATTTTTGAAAAAGGTCTATTACTTAAGGAGTAGTTAACAAACAACAAAATACGAATACTTTTGGAGCAGAAGGTATATATTTTTTAATATTAAATTTGACTTCTTGAAACTTTTGTGTATTGCTATTAA